CCTTTAAATCCCAATGATAAAGGCCGACATAATGATTCCGAGACAATGAAAGAAGTTACAAGAAATAAATACTTTTCAATTCAGAAATCAGAAAGAAGAATCGGACATGCCATACTGTACTGGAAGGGTTACTTGATATTAATGTCAAAAGCAGCACATTGTGGAACCGAATCCACTCCACAGCACAAATCTTCCAGAGGCCGAATTTAAAGAATTTGAGCCGTCGAGGCTGAAATTTGAGACACGGCTCAAATATGGTTGGTTCACTTAAAATTGTATTCAATGTTTCAATATTTAAGCCGGCGATCAAATAAAACCGGGTTTTTGCGGATTTGAGACACGGCTCAAATTCATCAAATTCGGACTTGGGAGAATTTTCCACTCAAGTACAGGTTTAACAGAACTAGATACATTTTTTTGCCAAATAGGTTTAAAATCCAGAATTTCTCGAAAATGAAGTTGAACTCAATTTCTTGTTATTTCTAAAGAAAATCCACAAACTTCAGAATACGAACTAATTTTTATTTAAAGGGAATGACCGGCTATGTAAGGTCGTTGAACTGAGGATGCAGTGTTGTGGAAAACTTCTTTAGGATTCATTTGAGACATATTAAACTTTTTAAGAGTCTGTAAATCCTGAGTTTGAGCGCAAATGCAACGTTCAAAACTCCTGATTTGGGGGTGGATACGCTTTCAGAATTAATTTTTAATATATTAATTACAACGACGACATAAAATGTAAAAATATTCTACAATAAACTACAGACGTCATGTTTAGGAACATTTTGAGAAAATAAAAATTAATTTTATCATCGAAAATAAGTAATCTTGTTCAATTATTAGTTTCTATTATCTCATTATTCTAGTTTCTCGTTATTCACAAAGATGTTCGCAGATTTTCTAGAACTATTATTGAAAAGACGACATTTAAAGAATTTGAAGAAATCTGCGATTAAACTCAAAGAAAATTAGAAATTCAATATAATAATGAAAACGGAATAATCGATTTTAGCATTGATTTATTGACAAATTTCTTTTGTGAAATATGTTCCTNGACGCGGCTTAAATTCATTAAATTCGGACTAAGGAACTAGCATACATTTTTTTGCCAAATAGGTTTAAAATCCGGAAAACTCATAATTTCTCGTAAATGAAGTTAAACTCAATTACTCGTTATTCCTAAAGAAAATATATAAACTTGTACGAAATACGAACCATTTTCATTTAAAAATAGTTTTAATTATAATTTTCTCAATTGCAAAAATAGTGTTAAAGGGGTTTGTAAAATCCATTATGTGAAGTGAATATACATTATAACATGCATTTCCAATATTCATATTCAAAAACTTCATTCAGAGATAGGGGTCTTTTTAGAATACCCCCCCCCCCCTCCATATGTAAATATTCTGCCTATAATAATATGTATACTCAAGACATTGAAAGGGTTTACTGGTATGGGGGGGATGGGTATTCCTACTCGAGCGAAAGAGGGGGGGGGGTGTACAGAGGGTGTATTCATATTTAAATTTTTATCAAAAGATATGTTTTTGCTTTAAATAATCAGTTTTAGGCAGAGCCCTATACTTGGCGTACCAGTAGGCTTTAACCTATTCTAAACTTCGAGTAGAACATATTTAATTGAATCTAAAAACGCATTTGCGCATTTTGTGCGTAACATCAA